TACTTATAACTTCTACAGGTAAAATATATAACGAAGGTCGAATGATTTAGAATGATTTAACTGACATTCTTATAGTATGGCACGAAAACTTCAAGTTTTACTTAATACGCTTTGTGGGTTCACAGAAGAGATAATCTACCTGAGCTTCTGAAAAAAGTATTGTAAAACGTATAAAAAAAATCTTTAATTAATTGTGTAATGATCTACAGATCAGGGTACTCGAGACGTTCCTACCTTGATCCCTAGACAGCATGTACAAATTTAGAATAATGATAGCGGAAAAGAGTAGATCCTAATTTATTTTGATATTTAGTCAATTATCATGACTTAATGGTCCCACGAGTCCCACACAAAATTTACAAATTCTTATCGCATAAATTCTGTATCCTCGACGGCTTCCAGAGGTCGTCAGAGTTTAATATTTTTATTTTTTATGATAATAACGATAGCGATCACTTGATATTCAGGTAACCGGGGTTAAATCACCACCCAAAAATTTTTCAGATCGTGTAACATTATATGAATTATGATGTAATTATTTTTTATATTAAATAAAAAATTTTTATTGATATGAAAGTAATTAAAACATAATGAAGAAGTGTGAATGTTGTTATGTTATAAAGCCAAAAGAGGCATTTAAAAAAAGAAAAAATGCAAATACAAAAGAGGCAAAAACATGTCTTGATTGTCGAACACAAATATCTTCAAAAATTATATTAAAATATAACCAAAAACGGGAAGAAAATATAGCACAAAATCAAAGAAATGCAATAGTACCAGAAAATATTGTAGATCACATACTTGAGACACTTCTAATGGATTATAATTTAAGCGACTTTTTGTTTAAAAAAAGATTTTTTATAATATTAGATCAACTAGTAAATTCTATTGATATGAATTCAGAAAAACAATTATATAAAGAAGTTGCACAATTTTTAGTTGATTGTATTTCCAAGGCTGATCGTTTTTCATGGACCTATCATAAATATGAACAGTTGAATAATTCAGTTGCATTTATTTACTATTGCAATAGTCGAGATGAATTAAAAAATAAGAAACCACGAACTAATCAACGTGATACTACAATTAGAATTCAGCGTCATGACTGTGGAGGCACTATTCGAATTAATATTGATCAATTAAATAATTTAGTTGTAGTTAATATTTATCATTTTCTTCATTCACCACCTGAAGCAAAGAATGTTACTATACAAATTTGTAATTATATAATAAGGAATAACTTATTAACTGTTCCATAGCTATATGAAAATATCAAAAAAGAAAAAATCGATAGTTTTTTGTAGCTTACTCAACATCAAGTATATTATTGGTCTAAAAAAATAGCTACAAAAGAATACAAATTATCAGATAATCAATTAGAATCTGCTCAACTATATTTAAAAAATCATTTACGCCTTTATTATATATACTACCTGATCATGTTACAAAAACAATTGTTGTAGATGCTACATATGGAACCAATAAATTAAAGTTTGAGTTATATGCTACTCTTGGAATTATTGACAGTGCCAGATTTCCATTGTCTTATTTTTTTCTTGAGCCAAAGCATCCACATGGCAAAACAAATGCAATAGCAAAATGGTTGTTTTATTTAAAAGAAAATGAAATGTATGACGTTGAAATATTTTTAACTAACAAAGATCGTGGACAGATTACTGCTATTAACCAAATTTGAACTAATGCAAAGGTCCAATTATGTTATTGGCATACATTACATGCTATCAAAAAAAAATTATCTAGCACAGGAATTGCACATAATTATTATAATACGCATGAAGCGTATCTTCTTTGTTTAATTATTAACCCTAATTGGCAACCAATAAGGGTAGCTGCGCAGTGTGTGACACAGCGCAGAACCAGTACGATCTCATTCGTGCGTTGTAGTCTAGAGAGTTATTTGTATAATAATAGTTAAATTACTATTTATTAAATAACCGATTAATGGATAATTCAAA